ACCCATGGTGTCTCTCATTCAGCTCTGAAGGCTGCCTTCCCGGTCCTGGGCAACCCCCACTTCCTACTCAAGGCTCCACCTGGGCTGCTCCCTCTCCTGGGGAACTGTGTCCCACGCCACCTTTTGCTTACTGCCTCACACAAGTGGTCTTGTTTCAGCCCCTAAATGTGCAGGGCAGGGCATCCTGTGCCCCAGAGAAGAACAGTCAGCAAGGGGCCCAAGCCGGGAGCCCCAGCTTGGCTCTCTGCCCCTCCCTGAGGTGTGCAGCAAGCTGAGCAGAGAAGGCGACTGCCAAGGCGCAGGGTGTGCTGGCTGGGGTGGAGGACAGAGGAGCTCGGGAACTATGTGGTCTGGGCAGGAAGGTTTCTGAGCAGGGTCGGCGCTGCCAGAGGGCACAGCTACACTAGGAAGGCTGGAGGTGGTCAAGGCTTCATCCCTGGCCTCAGCGGGTGGTAAGGGGTTGGGAGGTAGCACTGCCAGGGCGACAGTGGCCAGCACAGCCCACCCACTGATCTCACTCTATAATTCTCGGCTTCTTGTTTAGGGTGGCTGCTATTCAAACCAAACCAACAAAAACAGAAAAAAAAAAGTGTTGGTGAAGATGTGATGAGACTGGAGCCCTTCTTGAGCGTGGCTTGTGGCAATGTACAATGATACAGCTACTCTGGAAAACAGTATGGTACTTCCTTTAAAAAATAAAAATAGAATTCCATATGATGCAGCAATCCCACTCTAGGTTTACACACAAAAGAACCAAAGCAGGGTCTTCGCACACCATATAGATAGCAGCACTATTCATAACAGCCAAAAGGTGGAAGGCAGGTGTCTACTGATGGATGAGTACACAAAATGCTGCCTAGCCCCGAAAGGGAATATTATTCAGCCTCGAAGAGGGAAGAGATTTTGATAATATCTGCTGCAAATTAAGGCAGACAGGAAAAAACAAATACCGTATGATCCCATTTAAATCATGTGCCTGGCACCATCAAACTCATAAGTACAGAAAGTGGACAGTGGCTGCCGGGGCCTGGGGGGACGGGGGTTAGTGTTTCCTGGGTGCAGGGTTTCACCGCTGCAAGATGAAAGCCTGCATCTCTACAGAAGACAGAGATGGCTTCCCAATGAGAACAACTTAATGCCACCAACTGTGCACGTAAAACGGGTAAAGATGGTGAATTTTATGTTTAGCACAGTTTAATAAGCAACACAACTGAAGGCCTGAGCCACAGGGGTTTCTTTCAAATGAGTTTTATTTGCATTCCGAACAAAGCACAGACCCCACCTGCAGCTTTCTCCTCTGCACAGCAGTACAGGAACAAATGCAAAACACACTTCACTTCAGGTACAAAAACAATATGGTAGTGTGACAACTTAGGTCTCAATGGCCACCTCCCCATGACCTGTCAGCACTCACCTGGACCACAACCCTTAGGAAAAAGTCAGCCAATCTAGAGAAAGGTGGGCAGGATACACCTGAAGAAGGAAATCACTTCAAATACAAAAACATTAGAGGACACAATAACCAGTGCTCACTTTGGCAGCATATATACTAAAAAAGCCTGACTTCTCCGTGTAGACTTCCTCACTGCAAACCTAGGCTATGGGGGACTTGTCCCATGGAGCTGGAGGGAGAAGCCAGGGACAGCTGAGCAGAAGCAGGGGACACAAATCCAGTCCGCAGTGGGGAGCAGTCAGCAGCAGCTGCTGCTACCCGTACTACTAATGGAGGATAGAGTCACATTGCTGCAGGAGGCACTTGAGAGCAACCTGAGGAGTCCACGGGGGTTGGACAAGCCATAGGGGGCAGGACCACACCATCTAGACATATCCCTCAGTACCAAGGGCTTCCACTTTCAAGGGAAGCCCCATCCCAGGGAAGCCAGGGAGCCACCCACAAGTCACATAGCAGGACACCTGGGGAGGGGTCTGCAGGCCCCAGCGAAGCTAAAAGGCCTTCTGTGTGCCCACCAGGAGGACAGGAGGTCAGAAGCTTTCAAGGATGGCTCCTAGGCACACAGAAAGCGAGCCACAAAGGCAAGGGGAGTTCAGAAAACTGCTCATTCTAATGTATCTCCTGCTTTTGAGCTCACTCGAAATGTTTTTATTATGTAAGGCAGACCCTAATATTTGGGACGTTTTCTTTAAATAATTCAACAGGGCTAGAAGGTGACAGAGGTCTTGCTTAGTGGTTGCCAATGTTTTCTGTCCAAGGTTAGAGTAAATATTTTAGGCTTTAAGAGCCAAGAGGCAAAGCTGATAATTTTATTGGCACAAGAGAAAACAAATTCCCACAATTTTGTTGTCTTGTTTTTCAGAGGATAGAACCCAAGGCCTCACTCATGCCAGGCAAGCACTCTGCCACTGAACTACAGCCCCGGTCTCTACAATTTAACAGATGCAAGTTAAAGCGGAATAACTATGTCTTTTTGGTAAAACAGGTCTACCAATGAGAAGATTGTAATTGTTTTTAGCAGGTATGGGGGTGGATATCATTTTCCTTACCCAGATTCAAAGACAATTTTCTCCATCATCAAATCAATGGCAAAAACAGTCAGAAATCTGGGTCTGCCTCCCATTTACCAACCCTGATGAGAAAGGGCAGATGCTGGTAACTGAAGCTGGGCAATGGAGCCTGGGGTGGCTGTACTCTGGTTTTAGATAAAGGCCTGAAAATGGTCCATGATAAAGATTTCCCTGTCCCCTGTCAGCTCCCTGCAGCTCACCTCGGGTGAAAGGCAAGACCAATTCACACTGGCCCTTTGGAGAAGGAGCCATTGGAGGGCCAAGCCCAGGTAGCGACCACCTCTCCTCATCTCAAACCATGTACTACCCTGCACAGAGCAACAAATCTACACCCGGACCTATGTCCTGAGGACCTCTCTACAAGACCCCAAATGGCACAGGGGAGATAGTAGGTTCAGCTCAGCCACTGGCACAGGGGCTGCCACTTAGATGTTAGGTGCCACCCATGGGGTAGAGGGAGGGAGGAAGCCCTGGTGGACCTTGGCATAGAACTGGAAGCTGAGTGAGGCAGGCCTCAGGGAGGCCTGGGAGCCTGGCTAGCACCTTCTGGCCCCCAGGCCCTACTGTCCTGTCTCCAAGGGGAAACGGGAACAGGGGCAGTCAGAGAGAAGGCACAAACATTTCTTACTGGACAACTTGTTTAGCAAGATAGCAGAGCAGGCAACCTGGGGTGGGGGCCGCTGCCAGGTAGCTATGTGGAAGACAACCCTGGGGTCCTTGCTCTTGAGGTGCTGGTTAGATGACAGCTGCCCAAGCACTGCTCACACCCCCTGAAGAGCTGACTTGGGGTGTGCACCCTCTAACTAGCACAATAGCATCCTTGCTAGCCTCAAAAATAGAGCCTCTCCAGGAGCATCCTGTGAGATCGAAGGGAGTCACCCAGCACCCAGGGATCTGTGTTCCCCAAACCCAGAAGCTGTCTATGCTCAGGGAACCACAGCCACCGCCATATTGCACTGAGGAACCCACACTCGTGCACAAACAGACATGCACGTGTAAGATACAGCTGATAAGAGACACCTGGGGGCCCTGCTAAGTGTGCCAACAGTTGAGAGCCAGAGCTGATTCCTAAAGATGTGATGGGGATGATGTGACTCATGTCAAGATGCATGCAGCCTTGCAACGCAGAAGTGCTGGAGCACCATGCACACCCGGGACGAGAACACGTGCAGGTCACCCATTGTATGGTTTTGATAAAGGGCACAGGTGAGGGGAAAGCCCTGGCATCCCCTCAGACTCACTATGTGACTGTGCCAGCATGGACTCTCAGGTCTCCTGGTCTGTGGTTTTTATTTTCTTTTGAGGGAAGGACAGTGTTGGGAAACAAAGTACTCTACCAGGACCAAGCACTGTACCACCGAGCTGTATCACCCACCATGAACCCAGCCTGTATTTCTAAGCAGAGCAGACAGAGACAGAGAGGCAAAGATACTCATGGTTAGCCTGTAGGCCCAGCAGTGTACCCAGGATCTGAGCCATGGTCCCCTGTGCCTCCCACTGTACCTCAGATTCCCCACTCCTCTCACTCAGCTCTCCCCACTTCTTTGCCAGCCTGGGGCTTTCACCCTCTGTTCCACTGACAACAGCAAAAGAGTCTTTTCCATTTATTCTACCAACTTGTTAATGATTTTCAAGGCTTCAGTGACTCAGGCCAGCCCCGGGAGCAACAATGGACTTGGGAACTTGTGACACACTGCAGGGCTCCAACCTGTTCCCGGTAAAGCCCTCTCTAGGTTAACAGCTCTGCTTAAGGGTCTGAGGCTGACTGGGCAAGAGGTCACTAGGGCAACAGCCACCCTTTGCTTAAGACCCCAAGCCAGGACTTCGAACTCCCCACCCCATCCTGCCCTTTCCCCCAGCAAATCCTATTGTTCCCCACTCAACAGCCTCTGTCTCCTTATTAAAAGTGCAACCTGGTAAACGGGAAGGTTTGTCCTGACCTTGCAAACCAGGTTAGCCTGATGGCCTAACAGCAAAGAATTCAGCTTTGGCTTCCAGTTCAGGATGGCAGCTTGGGCCATGAGATGAGCAGGATTGAGATACATGGGTGTATCTTTCTCTGGCATTCACTTTTAAACCCCACTGCCTCCCAGAAGTGGAGGTTAAAGCCACTACCTCCACAGCCTAGAACACATGGTGGGGATGGCAGAGAGGGCCCTACCAACAGCTACCTTCCCATCAGGCCCAGACCTCTGGACTCAGAGCTCCCAGGAGACACTGGATAAAAGTGCTAAGTGCTATGGCTTTTCTGTACTTCAATACATGATAAAGAAAAACCTATAGCTTTAGCTCACCTGACTCCCATGGAAGGGAAAGCTATTGAATTAATAGGCAGCTGAGACATTTTGGTCCCAAATTACTATCTGTACTCTTTTGGTATTTTTCAAGCTACAAGATTTAACTGTAACCACTGGAAGGCAAGGAAGGCTGATGCCAGCGCACATGTCAGAGAATGGAAGACTCTATAAACAGTGATCTTCAGGTAACAGACCTTTATTAGACCTTCTTCTGGAATTATGAAGTAAAAATATCAAGCTCTCACATTTCTTTGAATTAAAATATAGTCTTCCAGCCCTTGGCTTGGGTAGGGGCATCACTTATAGACACCTCGAAGGCTAAATTCCAAAAACCCAAATGTAGTCCTGATTCTTCCACTAAGGGGAAGTGTGGCCTTGAGTGAATTATTACACTTCCACATCACTCAGTTTCCTCATGATTCAACAAAAGGAAATGAGTGGTCTTGACCTTCTACCAGGACTTTGAGGTGATGTTGGACCAGGCACCAACAAAGATGGTGGAATATCAGAGTGATATGGACCCAATATTGTTGAGACAGTTAAGGAGAGAGCACAAAAGCACAAGAATACAACAGCAAGGCAGTTGTAAAAATAGTGGAACCAAACACAGACTGAGAGGTAGAAAGGTGAGCTTCCCAACTGCAGCATTTGTGCCCCACAAAGAAAGAGCCAGCAAGAATCAGGCACCTTTAACAAGGGTGCCAAAACAATTAGGGTTGATACGAGTGGTACCAAGATACCCAATGAGCCTCTACCTAGGGGGCATGGAGCTTCCAAGGGGAGTTCCTACTGTTTGTCTCTTTAGAATGTCAGGGCTGGGAGGGAAAAGAACAAGGAATTGTCCAAAACCGGAGGCTGAGAGGAAGGGAGAGAGAGAGTCTGCATGCCAGACTTTGTGTCCACAGGTTTCTTCTGGTGGGTGGTCTGAGGCTTTCACAGAGTAGGTAGGGTCCCTCCTAGCTTCAGCTTGCAGGATAAGACAGCAGCTGGCAATGGTGCAATTTCTACATCCAAGGGGTTCCTGGGGCTAGGAGTAGGTGTATGTCCTACCGCTGCTCAGAGTCCACATTTCAGGATGATGTGGTAGCCATCATTGCTCTCGGCTGCGACAGAGAAACAAAGGCATATTTCACAGGCATAGAGACACAGTGCCATGGTATTTGGGAGTCCCAAAGGGCATGACATTAGTACCAGCAGAGGTGCCAAAATAAGGCCACACAAAAGGAAGTGTACTGAGGAAAGTAGAGACTTTAGAACCTACCTTAGCATTTGCCTTGCCCAGTTACTTTCCAACAATGGGCCTTCCCACCACAGCCAAGGGTAACAGCACCCGTGTCCAGCAAGACTTTGGACAAACTGGTGTTCCCAGGCCCATAAAGGCACTCACTGCCCATGCTATAGTTTGGATATGAAATGTCCCCCAAAGGCCCAAATAGAACTAGTGGAAGGAAGCTATGTCACTGGGGGCACACCCTTGAAGGGAACTATGGGATTCTGGCCCCTCCTCTCCTCTCCCTATCTGTTTCCTCACTGCTGGGAAGTGAGCAGTTTACCCTTCCATGTGCTCCCACCACCACATGCTGCCTTGTAACAGGCCCAAAAGAAACAGGGCCAGCTGACCATGAACTAGAACCTCCACAACAGTGAACCAAAATAAACCTTCCCACTTTTTAAGTTGATTGTCTCAACTTATAGTATTGGAAAGCTAACTAATATAGGGTAGATTCCCAAAACAATTCAGGGTCCATGACCCAGTCACAGGGCTTCTCTTCCAACACTGCCCATCTGATTACCAGTGCTAGGGAAAAATCACATTAGGTCATTCCCAGCCTTTCATGAAGAGACACATGCTGCTGCCACACAGCTCTCTCTGCAGAGTGGGTGTGCTGATTTCCTCTCAGGGCACCTGGCTCAGGTGGACCCTTGTGTCCCCCATCAAAGTCCCCAACCCACTATGCCAGCCACTGTATTCCATGCTTGGGTTTGCTGGAGATCTTCTAGGAAAACTCAAACAGATCTTGCTTCTACTCAGCCCTGAGCCCATGGAGCACAACTTGCCTGGCCCAGGCTCTCGCTTTCAGGAGTGACTTTGAGGCCAGTCTTACTAGTCCTGCATTTCCAGGACGCTTGTGTTTTCCTCTTCCCAAGGCTATTCCAGCTGGCTGCCCTGTGGAAGGACCCATGCAGGCCACTCTGCGCTCACTCCACAGCCCCACAGGATGCACATAATATGCTTCCATTAAACAAGGTGGGACCAAGAGCCTTTACCTTTTAATGTGCTGAGGATAAAACAAGATTCATCTTGGAAATTCTGCACCATCTGAAAGGTAAAAGAGAAAATGTGTTCCCTCAATGATGAGTTTATAATAGAAAAGCTCAGTGACCCAAAGCCCAGAAACGCACAGCTTCAGAAATGACTCTGCAAAACTCAGACACATGGTGACACAACCATTGCTGAGAAACGTAAGATACAGAACCAAGGTGTACCACCACTGGAATTTAATAACAAATCTGCCCACAAAAGATGGAAAGCAGTCTAGAAGGAGTCAAGATGCTCCCATTAGCCAGGCATGGTGGTGCAGACCTGTAATCCCAGCACTCAGAAGGTTTAGGCAGGAGGATCGCTTGAGTTTGAGGCCAGCATGGCCCACATTGTGAGTTCAAGGCCAGTTTGAACTACATTTTGAGACCCTGTCTCAAAAAAAAAAGATGCTCCATTTCCTAGGGTACTCTGGGATTTGTTTACACTTGTTTTGCTACTTCTGAGTCATTGGGTCTTCCATTTTCTATAGGAACATGGACATGTACAACAGCAACAGAGAAAAAACAAAACATAATCATGCACTGCATAACAACTTTTTGGCCAACAATGGACCATATATGCAGTGGTAATGCCAGATTACAAGGGCTGAAAAATTCTACCCACTAGTGACAGTGCAGCCATGGTAATATAGCTGCAAAATGCACCGTTCGTGTTTGTGGTGATGGTGCAATTTACCTACTATGCTGGCAGTTAGTATGCAGAATATACAATACTTGATAATGAATGCCTATCTTACTGGTTTAAGTACTTACTATACTATACTTTTTGGTATTTCAGAGTACATTCCTTCTACTTACAGAAAGTTTGTCATGTTTCACTGGCAGCAGCCTCAAACATGCTGACTGCACCTTTCAGCTGCACTGAGAGGCCATGTACAATGACTGACCTAGACTGTTTAGTTTTGTGTCAGTGCAGTCTAGGATGTTTGCATGACAACAAATTCATCTAATGAAGCATTTCTCAGAAGGTGGCCAGTTGTGTAAGTGATGCATGACTCTATAAATTTTTTTAAAAGCCTTAGCAATGAGTAGGATCAATGTATCAGTATCCCATGAGGATTAGATATAGAGGAAGCCATTTCTCCCTGTGTCTGAGAGGTGGCAGGAAACTATCGATGACTTACAGCACTTCCCTAGAGTCCTAATTGGGATGAACTCCCCAGGGACCTTTGGTAATACTCTCTCATCCTGGCCTCATAGCCCTACCTATAAAATGAGGCTGTTTTAGTGATTAAAAATATAACCAATACAAGGTGTGACATGAACACTTGCAATCCCAGCTACTCGGGAAGCTGAGGCAGAAGTTTCACAAGCTCAAGGGCATCCTGGACAACTTGATAAGGTCCTCTCTCAAAGCAAAAAAGGCTGAAGACAGAGCCTAGTGTTAGAGCATTCCTGGGTTCGGTCCCTAGTATCACCGATAAAACACAACAAACAACACAAAAGCCCAGGATGGAAGGCAATGGAAATTAGTACCCACAGCTGGTGGAGTACTTTAGAAAATCTTTAGAAAACTTTATGTGACCTAGTAGGATGTACATTTCTCCCACAAGGCATGTGTCTTACCGCAAGCATGTCCAACCCCTGGTCCATGGGCAGCAGGAGGCCCTGAAAAACTTGTAACATAGCCCCACAAATTTTTATTATCATGTGACTTTTAGTGATATTTTTAATGACTACACTGCACAGTGCTCAAGCTGGGCTGCATAGGCAACTACAGGACACCATGTAGGGGAGGGAACAGCACAGCACTGAGTTCGCCTCCTGCACGCGCCACACACAGGTGAATCAAACCCACACACCCACATGCATCAGACACTACATCAGGATGTGAGATTTCATGAGTAAAACTCAGCCATTATCAGTATCAGCACTTCAACCCACCTGCATATGCACGCACTTGTGAAGACAGGTATTTATTGCCATTATTTATTCTTATTTAAGTTTTCTTATTTAATTATTAAACTTGGGCCTTGCTGTGTTATTTCACAAGATAAGTTAAAACAGTATGGTTACCTATATACATTAACTACTTTGTGTATTTTACATGTGACCTAAGATGATTTCTCTTCATCAGCATGGCCCAGGCAAGCCAAAAGGCTGGACAGACAGCATGCCCAATATAAACTCCCGCACACAGAGAAACGCTTAAGAATGCTCAGAGTGGCACTGTCTGCAGTAACACAAAACTCAAAGCAATGCCCATGTCAATCAACAGCAGAAGCAAACCAACTGTGATCTAAGGATACATACTGCTCAACAGAGACCAGAACTCCAGCTGTCCACCTAGCATGCCAGAATCTCAGAAATACAATGCAGAAACTGGCCATGGTGGTACCTACCTATAATCTCAGCACTCTGGGAGGCTGAGGCAGGAGGATCCAAGATCAAGCCCTGCCTGGGCAACGTAGCCACTTAGTGAAACCATGAGTTAAAATAAAAAAAAGATCTGGGGATGTATGCTATATTTCATGATAGATACTTCATGAATATTAAAAATAGGCCAGGGAAAAAAAAATAGGCCAGGGATTTAGCTCAGTGGTTCTGCAGCCTGCCTTGCAGGCACAAGGACCCAAGTTCAATCCCTGGTACCAAAAAAAAAAGGAATATTAAAAATATACCAGTATCCACGTACATAAACATGCATGCAAAACTACATACTACCCAACATAACAGCAAAGCTCCTTCGCAAATGTAAAAACTGCAACCCACGTGTTGGGAACGTAGCTCAGTGGGAGAACATTTGTGTGGCATCCACAAGGCCCTGGGTTCCATTCTCAGCACCACAAAACACAAAAGGAAAACTAAGCACATTCTATGCTTGCCCTGGATTTTTGCCTCAAACCTTAGAAATCCATCCACCGTCGACCCCTGCCCCTCTCTGCAGGGTCTAATGATGCGTGAAGTACATTTTTCTATACCCCTGCCTGCTCCATCCAAGGCTCTTGGCAGCCCCACCACCTGGGCACAGAAAGCCTGAAGCAGAGCCCACACAAGCTTAATCAGTAACTCGCGTGTTTAATTAAGCACCTTGCACCCCAGCAGCCAGCTCCTCGGCTGGCCAGGCTGCCTCCGGCGCTCTGGGCAATTAAGAACCAAAGGTTTCCAATTGATTCAGGGTTAAGCGGCAAGGAGACTTTGGGGCATAAGAATCACCTACTTAGCCAGGGTGGCATTTGAGTTCTGTTCTCTGCTTCACTTGCTTAACTGCCTACACTCTTTGGGGCACAGGGCAAGCAGGGCAAGAACTTCCTCAGGGACCCATGAAATTGCAAGGTTTCCCCACATTCTTGCCTTTTGTCTTCACAAAAAGAAATTCACTCTGAAATAGAAAGTGACATGCCTTCCATGCCACTACAACTGCCCATCGCTCAGGGCATGTTTGCCTCCTGGCTATTCTCTCAAGTAAGCTCTCATCAGGAGCTTTGCACTTCATTTTCCTTATCTGTAAAATGGGAGCAAAAAGACAGTTACACTGGATTTGAATGTAACCATATAGAAGGAATTCTGACTTAGTTACAGAAACTGCAAGTTGCCAATAAGTATACAGCTGAATCTTCGATATGTATTTTAGATCCCACAACTGTCTACCCACACACAGACAAACCCCAAAACATCTGGCAGAATCACATTAAAACCTAATGTCAGCCCTTCTGAGGCCAAAAAACGTCTTTCACAGCTGCCGTCTCCTCTTCTCTACTGCGTCACTTACACTAGTTATGAATTAAAGGAGGGAAAAAGCAATCCAGCCAATTTAAGCTTGCCTAAAAATAAGTGCCTAGCATGAGCACGGTCAGTTACAAGGAGCATCTTACTTAGCATCTCCTGGTTCCTGCCGCCTGTTCTCATTTTACCCTTACCGGCCTGTCTGATAGTGAACTCTCACCCCCATCCTCAGATGCAGAATCTGAGGCTCAGAGAGGCCATGTAAATTTTCCCAAGGCTCCTCAGCTGGCAGGAGACAGTTTTGGGTGGAGATACTAACTCAAAAGCCCACATTTTCTCTCCTTTTTCTAACCACTATTCCAGTCCCCAGTTTCTTCTCTAATCCTCCACACAGGGGATTTCAGTTTCTGAAAGTGGCATAGGGTCTTCTGGGGACCGGGCCAGGGTTTGGGGTCCCCTCTGGCTCCCACCAGCACAGTTCTCCTCTCGAGAGAAGATGGGTCTCTGCTGGCTCAGAGTGCAGCTCAGCAGCTGGATCACCTGGGTCCCCACCACAGCGCCACCCCTGGCTATGGAACAGAAAGTGGACTGACACGGCACCCAGTATGTGCTGCCACTTGTTACTATTATTATTGGGAAGGAAGGCCCGGGATGGAACAAGCTTAAAAGCATCTGTTCTACACTGTGCACAGAAGGCCTCCCTGCTCAGCAGCCTATCAACAGTCCATTACTCAGAAAGTGGGCACAGTTCCAAGGGGGTCTTCTTCAATACCTGGGCCCTCTGCCACCAGCTGCTTCTGCCTACACAGGGCCCGTGTCTCTGGGCACAGACCTGGGGAGCCGTAGCACCGTCATCTCTCAGTAGAGACCCTTGCTCTCAGCTCCTGTGAGCCAAAGATGCTCTCATCCACCTCCCAGGCCCTTTCGCATCTCCCTGTGGCTCACCCTGGGGCTACCACCCACTCAGGGAGAGTACTGTTCTCACTTTCACAGCCCCAGCTCAGAGCTTTGGGGTAGGGGTGGGATCTGTGCCCAATGGGCTTTGGGGCACCCAGCCAGCCCCAGATGTGGCTCAGAGATCTCCTGCTAGCACCCCAGGGAGCCCATGTAGCCCAGCAGGTGGCACACTGTCTGTAAGCCCCAACGTTTCTGGCTAAGGGTCCTGGGGCTCCTCCCCCAAGTCCAAAGCCCCATTGCTGGGGACTGGCCTGGCTCAGCCTCACCTCATTGCTCACCAGCACGTGGATGCCCGTGGGGCCCTGCCGGTAGACTCGGTGGATGTGCTGTGGGGGGATGCTGTACAGGTTGGCGATCTTCTCAATCAGCTCCAAGGTGGTCAGCTCTTCCAAGAAGATGGCATGGTACACTGGGGCGGAGAGGAGAGTGCCTTCTCTTTAAGTGGCCACTCAGTTAGCAGGCGCCTGCCTATGCCCCTCCACCCCATCCTACGGAAGCAATTGATGCTTTGTAAGGATGCCCCTGGCAAGGTGATGGGCACCTGCCCAGAAGCCTTGAGCTTGAGGCACAGTGCAGTCCACCCACAGGTGGACAGAGGCCAGGCTGTGGCTCTCTGCTCCCCTTTCACTCCCTCAAGATTCTCTTGTAAAACACAGAGATTCTTGGACCCACTCCAGACCCAAGGACAGCTGGGGCAGGAGGTATCAGGTGATTCTGACATGCAGCCAGGTGTGCCTGCTGTTTTGGGAGGGAGGAGGAGCCCCAGGTCACCTTTCCATTCTTCCCAGTCTAAAAAGGTTACTGATGGCTTCGTGTGGCAGGCTGACATGTAAAGACAACTGTTACCTGACAGCAGAAAGGCCTGGGCCTGGGCCTTTCCTTCCCACCATGCAAGCAAGACGCACTCAACTTGAGCACTGCGACCCCAGGGAGCAGAAGAGGCCCCAGTAGGAGCCCAGTGTGGTCAGCAAGTCAGGAGATATCAGTGATGCTGACAAGAGAAGCGCTTCCTTAGACAAAGCCCAGGGCTGCAGTGCAGGAACAAACTCCAGGGACAACTGGCAGAATTCTAAGGGGACTCGAGGTCCTCAAAAGCAAACACAACTGGATTAAATTCCAAGTTCCCAAACTTCTCCCTCTACTAAGGAACACTTGGCTCAAAACCCTGGTTGGAGGCCCAACACTATCAAAGTGCACACACAGGTGGTTTCTGTCCAAGGGTGGCCAGGCTGTGGGGCTCCAGCCACAACAAGCTCTGTTCTCCTGAGTCACCGTCAGGCCCTGGCCATTGAACATGGTCACTGCGTCAAGTCTCTGCCAGTGCTCAGACTGGGAAGAGCCCCAGGACTCACTTCTAAGGGCCCTCTGTGGGGAAGAATTCTAATGATGCTTCTTTTTATCTTCTTCAACCTTGTGGAGCCAGTTCTATTATTTTCTGATTTTATACCAGAAACAAATCAGGCCCCAGGCCATAAAGAACTAGAGGGACCCCAGGCTGATGCAGCTCATCATAACCTTTGCTACCAGACGTGCTCAGAGTGAGGGCAGCGAGCAGAGGCCTCAGATTCTACACTTTCTCTTCTTGGGAGCCACGTGGGGAGCAGTCTGGGGAGATAAGAGGCTCTACCATGGGCAGTCATGGGTTCAAATCCTGACTCTGCCACTCATGGGAAGCAGGAGGACCTGAAGAAAGCCAACACATCCCCAAGCCTCAGACTGTGTATGGGGGTAATGGTGCCCTGCACAGCTGCCCAAAGTGAGGCCAGACCACACACTACACCCTGCTCAAGAACACACATGGGTGCCCTTTAAATGTGTGGGACATTCGAGAGACAGCCAGTCCTTCACAGGCCAACACTGAAAAGCAGGGGACAAGGTCTGGATGCTCATCAGAAATGCAGAGGCTGGGCCAAGCCATGGAGGCCAAGGCTGAAGGGTCTGAATGTTGGGTCTCGGCTCTGCTCTCTACGACTCACCACATAGGCTGCTGTCACTGCTGCCATCCCGCTTCTGCTGTAGGGACACTCGGTTCTGCTCCAACTCCTGACAGACATAGATGGTCATCTTTGGCCTCACATTCCTAGCAGAAGGAAAGGAAATAAACATCACATGTGCCGGACTGAGCTCCATGGTTCTAGAATGTTCCAGAACACAGGGTGGAGCCTACAGTAGGAAAGATTCAGGGAAGAAGCAAGATGGGGGTGGGGATGCAGGATGCCTTTCCTGGAAGGGTAGGGAGGGGCCGAATCCAGTTCACTGAGCCTGGGGGAAGGGCAATGGATGACCCTCCCCAGGTTCTGCAACAAACCAAGATGTCAAGAGTGGGCTGGAGGTGTAGCACCATGGCAGAGTGCATGCTTAGCATGCTTGAGGTCTTGGGTATGAACCCCAGCACCAGAAAATAAAAAGTGAAGTTCTCTGGAGTTAAATTTAAAATTAAGTTTGACTGTCACATTAGCACATTAGCTCCAAGGCCACAACTGGCCAATGGCTCCTGGATGGTTGGCTGCCCAGTCCCCACCAGCCAGCCCACCTATAGTCCAAGAAGATCAGTGAGGGGCTTGCTAGGTTCTCTGAGAAACCTACACCCACCTGCCTTTGATGGCATTGAAGAGCCGGATTCCATCTGCAGGGCCACAGATCTGGACCAGATCATCTCTGGACATCTTCAGCAAGTCAGAACCTAGAGAGGGAAATGAGTCACCCCTCAAGTGGGGCACAGGAAGGGCTCCCTCCCTGAGCACCTGCAGACACTCCAGCCTCACCCTCGGGGAGTATCAGACACTCCCAAGAGAAACAACAAAGAGCTAAACCACCTTAGAAGTTCATAGCTCAGAAGGATTCTCAGCAGGTCCTGCCCTCTGTAATTTCACTCACATTCATCTATGGGCATCATTCTATCAGCACATTGGCAGTGATTACACGTGCATGTCTCTGTGTAGAAGTATACCGTTTGCAGGAGGTTGACGACTGGAACCCCCCAGCACAGACAAAGGGGCAGAACCTTACCTGCCACAGGCCCTCATGTCAGCCACCCCAGCCCCACCCCATGCAGATCTATGCCCATTATCATATGTCATTCACTGTGTGAATACATCATGGTTCACACTCTACTGATGGGCTCTGGGGTGCTTCCAGCTCGGGCTGCTATGAAGAGGCTCTGTGAATCATTCTCCTACATGTCTCTGGTCAACACAGACAGTGCGTCTGCTGGGTCACAGGCAAGCCTCTGTCTGGCTCTGGCAGAAACTGCCCCAAGTGTTTCCTGAAGCACTGTCCCCATGCAGTCTTAGCACTCTTTAAGCACAAGTGTGCTAGAAGTTACAACCTGAGATGCTGTCTCAGGTTCGGTTCTGCAGGACACAGGCTCCCTCTGCACTGACAGTGAACACTGGGGTCCTTCCACTGCTTTACCAGGGACCTCCCTGACTGGGTCCCTCAGGCCTCTTTGACCTCATCACCTCCCCAGGCCCAACCCCCAGGACTCTGCCCCAGTAACCTGAGTCCTCTGCTCCGTGACCACAGCAAGAAGGCATCTGTCTCATGGCCTTTGCTCTTTTTCTGTCTGCTCACAAAGCTCTTCACCCAAAGCCCACTCGGTTCCCTTCCTCCTGCTCTCTAGCCTTTGCTCAAGGAGACCTCAGCAAAGCCTCCCCCACACAGCCCAGCCCACCCTGTCACAGGCGTTTCACGTGGCACTGAGGATGGCGGTTCACAAGTCTGCACTACATCAAAGCTGCAAACCCCGGAGAGCAGGTCCAGCCTCCCCCTCCCAGCGCCCACCTCACACCAAAGGTTCTCAGGGATGCAGAGCTGGAAATGAACAGATGCTGTTTCTCTTCCACAGCCATACATGGCTGAGGAAACTGCTCCTCTGGTGTATGCCAGACCTCTCCCCCAGGCACTCTGGACTGAACTGCTTGATAGCAAGGGTCAGGCCACCTTTGTACCTCTGGCTCCGGACTTCTCTTTGAGGACCATCGGTTGGGCCTTCCAAAACCGTTTTTTCCTCTTTTGGTGCTGGGAAGGAGCCTAGGGCCTCATGCATGCTGGGAAAGTACACCACCACTGAGCTCCATTGCTGACGTTTTTTATTGTATTTTGAGCTTAAGTCTTGCTAAGTTGCCCAGATCGACCTCAAACCTACAATCCTCTTGCCTCAGTCTCCTGAACTGCTGATATTACAGGTGTACTCCACCACACTCAGCCTCCAAAAACTTTATGAAGAAGGAAGTAGCAGCTTTCCCATCTCACCTATGGCTTTACCTCCAAATCCCAGGTTGTAGCTTTGAAGACAACAAGACAAGCAGTATTTTGGGCAAGAAAAATACAGTAAATACAGTAAAATACATGCAGAGTGTGCATTGCCCTGTTTAGCAAAGGGGGCCCTTCCAGGGCAGGCCATAGCCTACCAATTCCTACAGGTAGGGGGAGCTGGATAAAGTCAGCCAACAGTCCCTCAAAGTCAAATTAGAGTGGGGACATCAAGGAGCAGCACCTCTTACCTGCAGAATTTCCTCTTTGGTCTTGGCCCCAGGCCCGAACACATGAGAGGGAACCCAGATGACTGGGGGCACAACTATAGCCCCATGGGGGCAGAGGACCGGTCCTGGACTGTGCTTCCCAGGTGCCTGTGGGTTCTAAACATACTTCCAAGACGCTCACCTGAGAAGCTGGCAAAGAGGCGGCAGAACTGTGAGAATCTGTTACGGTGGAGCCACTGCTGGGCATCCTGGATGGAGGCTGATGGCAGCAGGTGCTGAGGGAGAGAGAAGAGACCTTGAGGTGCTATTCGGAGCCTACCAGGGCCACCACCTCAGAGCCTGGTGCACACTTACATCACTGCCCATGGGCAGGGCCTCCACCTGGTGGGTCGGTGAGCTGTTGCTGCAATGGAAAAGGGACAGGAAATGAGGATGGAGGCAGTTCCTGGAGACTAGTTCCTGGAGGTCTAGTCACCTAGCCAGGTGCTGATGTCCCATCAAGTATGAGACTTGTTTAAATGAAATGAGTCCTCCAGAATTTCTCGAGTCAGATAAATGTAAGAAATGGGCATCTAATCCCTCCGAACCCCTGAAGAACCCATGGGTGTAGGCAGGAAGTTTGGGGCTACACTGCCCTGGGCCTTGCTTACACCCTATCCCAAGGAGTCAGAGCAACCTCTGAGGACCCTTGCTGGCTGATCAGAATCCCCTTGGTCTTGATCAGAATTCCCACCAGCTCAGGGTTTCCACCCCAGCCCCAGCCCAAGGGGAAGGCAGGCTGACCATGGGGACCGGGCTATACTGCTCCAAGTAATCAGCACCTGGAAAGCTGTGGCCAAATCAGAGTCATCAACCAAATTCTTTCCATATTGCCGGAATTTGCAGTGGATAAGCTTCCACAGGTTGACATCTATCCATGAGGAAAATGCTGCCAGGGTGTTCCCAGCAGGGCCAACTCAGGACGGTACAGATTGGAACACTTGCACTTACAGGTAAAAGATACGCTCCCAATGGACCTCCCAAACAGATGTCTGTGACAGCTGTACAATAGCAACAGTGTACTTAATGCTGCTCAACTGCACACTAAAAACTATGTTTACACAGACTTTACCACAATTTTAAAAAGAAATTCTCATAAGGATGACTCTCAAGCCAGTCATTACTAATACCAGCTGGCCTTCATGAACTGTCTACAAAATGCCAGGCATCATGGACGTGATACTGTTGACCAATGTGGAAATCTATTCCCTTTTTGTAGCGGGGAAACCAAGGCTCAGGGAGGTTAAGGAAGTTACCCTGAATAAGGTGTATGTGTAAAACTAGACCTACCTGACCTAAATGTAATCCTTTTCTTTGTCTCTCAAGAGGATGCTTCACCTTGGCAAAATCAAGTTCATGGAAAACCTTGATGTTTCATTAGAAAGCTCTGGGAACATCTAGAAAGATCTAGGAACATCTAGAAAGTTCCAAGAAGTCTGCCAAGCTGGGCTTCAAGACAGTGGTGGGCAGAAACCATTTGGCTTCTGTGCTCACCTATTAAACCACCTGGCCTGGCATTCTTCTGCCTGCCTTTCTGCTCCTAGAGCAGGCCTGGGAGCCATTGAGGTAATGTTGTGGGCCCTGGGCCACACAGCCTGTGACAGTCAGAATCTGCTGGTGACTAAGCACTGTCCTGTCACAGCAACCTTGAGACCAAGCCCCTGGCCATCTGCAGAGCGAGGCAGGTGGCAGTGAGGTCAGCTGCAGTGTTATAAACTCTGAAACCTGGGGCAGGGAGGATCCTTCCGTGGAGATGTCCCTCTCACTGAGTGTGCATAGGAACCAATAAGGTGCAAGAAAGGGGTTCCCAGCCATCTGAGCCACGTAGACCTCTCCTGGGACAGGCCACGAGGCTGTCCTAATGCACCTCAGGCCCTAGTTTTACAAGAAAAGCTGTGGACTACTACCCTACCAGATGATGTTTATAGACGTATAAGACAGAAAAAGCCATGCAAAAGCTAAACACAGCTGTGACTGTGACACCAGTTAGCCATGCTGAAACCTAAACAGATGCCAAACAATGGAAAGAAGGGAAAACCAAGAAAGGAACCCACCCACTCTTCCATCCAGCCAAGGGGAGAAAGGTGAGACCTACCCTTCGCCAAGGCCGAAGCTGTTGGGAGAGCCATTGTAGCTTGGGGATGGGGCACTGTTCACCTGGTAAGGCACATCAGGCCATGGAGAGCACTGCGGGAGGAAAGACAAGTGCTGTGACTCACAAGCAGAAATCCCCAGGAAGAGCCAGAGGGTGCATAGACACCAGCCCATCAACTCAGCCCTTCCAAGGACGCAGCTGTCAACATCAGTGCACCGTGCTCTGGCAGCACAACTCTGGGTATCTGTTCCATGTCAGCCTCCTTCCTGCTGGGAGCTCCCAGAGACAGACACACATGGGATGTGATCTGTGTCCTCAGGGAATTCCAGTGTGGAAACCCAAAACCAAGCCACCTGGATTTCCCCCAAAGAGAAAAAGAAATAAGAAAGCAAAGACCTGCAGGCTTGCTGGGGGAAGCAAGAAGATGAACTATGCATTTCTTCCTTTGCTGGCAATCCAGACAGGGCCACAGGGAGCATTCCTGAAGATTTACTATCACCTACCCAACCCCGGCCTCCATAAATGTTTAACTGTTGTGAGCATGGGCTGGAATTCGTTGGTGCTAAATCCTGCAGCCAGAGGAAGAAAGCTGATGAGCTGATAGAAGGAGATAGCACCTCCCGAGGTCAAGGTTGAGGCCTGGTGGGCTTCCAGCACCAATACTGCCCTGTGAGGAGAACAGAGATGGATGGGCATGAAGTCCACCAGCACCTGTCCTCTGCTGGAAGCCAAGAGAACAGGAAAAAGTTGAGCCTCAGCCAGGAAGAGAAAAGTATCACTAGGTAAGGGACATTTCTGGCAGCCTCACCAGCACAGGCAGGGACCAGGTGTAGGAAGAAAGGGGTCTGAGTTCTACTCCATACAATGCAGCCCCTGCAGTGGGAATGGCTCTTCCTGGACCCGAGCTTTCTGGCCACTCTTGGCATCCATCAGATAAGACGCCATGTGCTGGACCACATTAGCTTCTACGCCATCTGAATGCAGATCCTCTTCTGCCTGTGGCCAGTCGCATGCACACATAGGCAGGCACTTTCAGAGCCAGCGCTACCCACCCTGCCTTTGGTGCTTCTGTGCCCAGGCCTCACCCTAACACAGCCTCGACCCCCAGCTGGCCAGTGTGGTCAAGTCTTACACATGCCTCTGGAGAAGCCCAGCTATTCTGTAAGGAAACGCCAACCCCAGTTAGTTGGCCTGACTGCAGAACACACCAAGGAGGAGTTGTTGCGGGAAAGAAACAGCCCGGTAAGTTCGAACATGCTGGCTACAGCTTGTGACACCTCAAAGTCAGCCATAGACATAAGGATGGCTGCAGCAGGCTGCCTTTGGTGTTAGGGTTAAGAGGAAATGCTTTTCAGTAACTACCCAAACAACAACAAAGCCAGGGCTGGAGCTGGAGGTGTGGCTCAGTGGCAGAGTGCTTGCCTGGCATGCACACAGCCCTGGGTTCCATCCTCAAAATTAAAAAAAAAACAAAAAAAAAACAGAACCAGGTGTGATGTCTCATGCCTGCAATCCCAGTAAGTTGGGAGGCTGAGGCAGAAAGATCACCACAATTTTGAGGTCAATTTGGGCTATATGGTGAGTTCAAGGCCAGCCTGAATTACATAGCGAGACCCTGTTTCAACCCCCACCTGAAAGTCAGCAGATACACAGTCCAACTCAGTGACCCACTCTGAGAAGACAGCCCTGTGGACAGACTCGCTGTGTGCAGACCTGCACACGCCTGGTAATTCCCTGCACCACCGTCTGAAATAGCAGAGCCCAGAACGACCACACATCCACCAACTGGCCATCACTCAGGAAGAGTAAAAAAGTGGACAAGGAGCCAGAAAGCTCTTTATGAACAGGCAGGGAACAGAGTCCAAATAAGCAATTAAATGAAAGCAATGCACAGTGCAGAAGAATGTGTCTATGTACACAGTTGGCCTGGGGCAGAGCTGCGTGCTCCTTCACCACAGGTACAGAGAAGGCCAGGCTGATGCGTGTAAAACCAGCCCTGCTGGCTCCCTGTGGGGAGCAGCAGAGAGGCTGGGGCAGTGGTGGCTGAGATATTTTGGGTTGTACACTATGTTGAATTTTGCACCATGTGAACTTACCTATTCAAAGTAATAAACATGCCCTAATTTTGGAAGGCCAAAAGCATTCAAAGGCAACAGAGAGCAAGAAACCATTTCTGAACCACCTTCCCAGCCATGATGAAGGCCGCCCCAGACCAGGGAACGTGCACAGCTGCGTGGGTGCTCTCCAGCGAGGTGCTCGCCTTCAAGGACAGGCAACCTTCCAAGACACTAAGAGACAGCCTTGACCCTGGCAGGGAGCCCTGGAGGTCCTGTCCCCAGCCTGCAGTTCACCTCTGTGAGGATAGTGGTTTCATAGGATGGCTGGTACTTCTCCTTCTCTTGAGCAGTTCTTTTCTCCATCTTTTCCCGGTCTGTCTTCTGTTTCCGGTCAGCTCCCTTTGGCTGCAAGTAGAAAGCATGGGGTCCAATCAGTCCAAAAGGAGCCAAAGTGGCTGCTGGCAAGAAACCCCAGGCCTGTCCACTTCCTGCCTCACTTCAGGAGCCCAAAGCACAGCAGGATCTCCTGGACAGGACAGCTGTTCTCTCACCTGACCAGGTTCAAACTTGCAGCCCTTCATGGAGCCTGCTACTGGGCCTGCCACTCATCTGCTCATGGGGAAGCACCTGGAAAAGATTGCTACTGGGCCGGGGATTTAGCTCAGTGGTTCCACCGCCTGCCTTGCAAGGGGAAGGACCCGAGTTCAATCCCCGGTACCAGAAAAAAAAAAAAAGATTGCTACTAATGGCCATTGCTTCCAGAAGGGAACCAACTTTGGGGGCACAGGACAAATCACAACCTGTTCCTGGGGCCACCCATGAAGAGCAAAAGAAGTGGAAGAAGTGGCCACTGGTTGGGTCTGTTCTATCCCAGCAGGCTGGGAAATGCTGGCCATCTGTAGGAGACCTCCTCACCCCAACTCTGAGACTCCTGCCAAGCTCCCAGCTTAATCTCTGATGTCCCTTCCTTGACATGACTAAGTGAGAGCAGGAGAGGCTGCCAATAGTGGGTGCCCAGCAAACCAAGTCACTTAAAAAGAGTGTTGGGGCCTCACAACCACTACCATGCCTCAGGGTGATGCCTGTCCTGGACAGAAGCAGGGGCATAAGGAGACATGAATGACAGATCCACCAACAATGAACCATAGGCCAGGCTAGGACCACTGGCCACAGAATGTTCACAGCGGACCAAAACTGCTAGTTCCCACAGAGGGCCCAGAGGCTGCAGTGGCCCCAAAGATGTCCACATACCCTGATCCCCAGAATGTGTGAATGTGTTATCATATGTGGCAAAGGGAGAATTCCATCTGCTGGTGGAATTAAGACGCTAATCAACTGACATTCAAACAGGAAGGCAATCCTGACTATCTTAGTGGGCCCTATGCAGTAACAGGGACCTTTAAAAGGCCGGAGGGAAGGAGCAGAGAGGTCAGGTGGCTCCCTGTGAGAAGGACAAGGGTCTCTCTTGGTGGCTTTGAAGATGGAGGGAGGGGCCCCAGGCTATGGTATAGACAGGGGCCTCTGGAAGCCAGAAAGGGAAAGGAAGTGGATTCTCCCCTAAAGACTCCAGCAAGGAATGCTGGCCCACTGACCCGGTCAGCCAAACGAGACCCACCTCAGGCTCCTTATGGATGTGACGATATCTATGAACATAGTTTTGAGTTTTTGTTTTGTTTTGTTTCGTCTTGCAGTGCTGGGGATGGAATCCAAGGTCTCGCACATGCTAGGCAAGTACTCTACTACTGAGCTATGCCCCAGGTCCTTTTTCATTTTCATTTTCATTTTCATTGTTATCTATCTAGCTAGCTATCAATCATGATACTGAGGATTGAACCTGGGGCCTTAACACTGTGCTACATCTCCAGCCTTTTTATTAATTTTTCATTTTTTTGAGACAGGGCTAAGTTGCCAAGGAGCCAGGGAGCCAAGGCTTGGCTCCAACTTGTGATCTTCCTGCCTCAGCCTCCTGAGAGATGGGATTACAGGGATGCACCATTGCACCCAGCCCTAGTTTTAGGGTTTCTCTGTGTGTGTTTTGAGACAAGATCTCATTGTTTCACAGACTGGTCTCAAACTCCTGCCTCAAGTGATTAGTGTGCATCATTTTAAGCCACTAACTGGCACAACAGTAAGAAACAAATGCAGCAAGAGGTGCCAGCTTCCCTTGGGGACCTTCCCTTCCAGGCCACCTAACCTTAAGTAGTTTCTGAAGATAGCTACTCTCCTCCTCTGGCAAGAAAGACAAAGACAGGTCCTAACACCACTTCAGCCTCCCTGCTGGGCCAGCATCACTAACTGACCAGCATGTCCCCATCCAGAGCTGGCCAGGGCCAAGGAATCCCCCACCCACACCCTCAGGAGGCAGACCTTCTCAGGGCAGGGTCCCAAGTGCAGAGAACATCGCACCTCCTTAGGCTGCCAATATATGCACACGGTCCCCAAATCCCTTCCAAGGGCTCACTGGGTGCCAGTTGCTGCAGAGGATGCTACACAGGGGACCAGCACAGTCCTGTCTTCAGGGGCCACTAGGGTTATGGTGGGAATTTATTTCCACATCTATCCCCAGGTCAGGAAGATCAACGCGGACCCAGATTTCTCACTTATGAGGCCCTGTCTGAAATGACTCACTCTTGATCTCCTGCCCCGCCAGACGGAATTTTGTCAGCAGGTCCCAAATTACCCTCAATGTGAAGGAGGTGAGGGGACCAGCACTGGGCTAAGGACTCAAGGCAGTTCCTGCCTGGGAGGTGACTACTCACTCGCAGGCACCTGCTGGAAGCAGAGCATGCAGGTCAGGCCTTCAGGGGACAAGGCCATCCTCATGCCTTGAGAATGATGTGGAATCCCTCCCCCTCCCAAGGGCACACAGGGCAGTGAGCTGGACTGCCGGCTACTATCTTCAGGAAATCATCAGTCCAGATTGAGATGAAAAACAGGACAGGAGACTGCAGGAGGTTAGGCAAGAATGGGAGAGATAGGAAGCACCTCTAAAAATCAGAAAATGTGTTTCTTCCTCTGAGATTCCTCTATCTTTCTCTCCCCCCCCCCTCTTGTTTGTGTGTGTGAGGGGGGTACTAGGGATCAAATCCAGTCTCCCAGGTGCTAGGAAAGCACTCACCACTGAGCTATACCCCCAGTCATCTTTATCTAGGAAAAAGCCAGTATAGAGAATAATATTGGCATTAGGCCAAGCACACAGGTGGTAGGGGCAGTCACGACTTCATAGTCTGGGGAATCTACATGTGAGAACCTGCCAGCACATGTAAAGTGCTGGGAGGGGGATCTAAAAATGTACAAATCAGTCACTCTTATAAAGTCCTCGGCACTGACATCCAAAGACCCCAATATTTCTGATGAAAGCTGAGCAAGTGCTGCAGACAAGATGCCCAGATGAGAAGACACCCGAGTAGGGCAGGAATGAGCAGGGGTGGGCAGGCTTCTGTCCCCGGATGGACACGTGGCCCTGACTCACTGGTAGTCTAGACAGAAGCCCTGCAACTAGAGGGATGCTGTGCTCCTGGCTCAGCCGCTAAGCACAATTGCAAGGGTCACCCTGGCGGCACTGCTGCAGGAAGATGTGCCCAAGCAGGAAGTCATGAAGCCATCCTACCTTGAACACCTTGATCTGGCAGCTGGCCGAGTGCAGGTGCTCCGTGTACTCCCCATTCTCGTTCTGCTTAAAGGTGTCAATCTGCACCCGGAAAGGCACTCCTTTCTCACCCCCATGCTTCCTGGGGGTGAACTCCGTGCTGATACAGTGCACCTAGGAGAGGACGAGGGGCAGGGAGTCTAGCAGGGGCCAGCTGGGCAGGTCTGGACTCACCCAGGGCTGCTCGCCATCCCTGCTGCCTCCTGTGTGGACCTGCCACCAGCTCCCTGCTCATCCAGGCCACTCCACCAGGTCCGTGGCCTCCCTATCCTCCAGCTGCAAGACACACCCTGCTGCCTCTGGCCCTTTATTGTCGGGCTGCTGAGAATTTATCACTGCTCCAGGTCACTGTCCCTGACCACCCCACCCTCCCTCCTCACCCTGGGACCTCTCCCTAGGCAAAGCCTACACACTTAAGGGCAGGGACCTCAGCCAAACCCTGAGCCCTCTCTTATGTCCTAAGCAGGTTGGACGCATAACCAGAATGCCGGAACCATTTCCACATTTCTGACGTACAGTATACATACTTGTTACCATATGTAGCAATGTTATAGTAATATAATAAATACTATTAAAACAATAATAACATTATAATAACAATTCTCTTTCTTTCTTTTTCTTTTTTTCTTCCTTCCTTCCTTCCTTCCTCCCCCGCCCCCTTTCTTTCTTTCTCTGGTACCGGGGATCAAACTCAGGACCTTGTGTTTATGAGGCAGGCAGCAGCATCACTGAGCTAAATCCCCGGCCCCTGTAATAATGATTCTTTAGTGCAATAAGAATATTGTTTTCAAAAGAGATCTTTTTTCTTGAGTGATTCCCAGGGAACAGATACTGCACTATAGCTTTATATTCATGATCTGATTTACAAATAGGTGGGAAAACTCAGGGGGACAAAGTGTGCTGAGGGCACAGTGAAAGCAAGAGAGAGCAGATGGAGCCAAAAGTGACCACAGCCTGGTCCCCCATGACCTCACGTGGTACACAGCAAAGCGAGTCCCATCCCAGGGGTGGATAAAGAAATAACTCACTCAACAGTAGAAACTATAATGGGAAAAATGTTTACTTTCCAATTATCTCTGCTAGGAAATACTGACTTTTTTAAACCTTATGTAAGCAGAACCCAAACAGAGCTCTAGAACATTCCACATCCCTTTCCTAACCCTGTTAACCAATTAGCTCTGTGACTAAGCAGGCTCCCACTTCCTCTGTCACCACCACCCAAATGGGCTCCTTTGGACAACTTGAGCTGTGAACCCCAGAGCTCTGCAGCTCACTCACCTGAATGAACGCAGACGCCCTCTTTGCAGGGTCCCATAAGAACTCAACTGCATTCAGCTGGGTTGGGCTGGCCCTGGGGTCCAAGATACCAACAGACAGTGGAATATCTGCACACATACACACACACAAAAGTGCAAGTGTCAGCCTCTCCCAAATGCTTAGAAGGATCCTCATTACAGGTCCAAATTCCTTCACCACAATTTGAAGTACTCAAAGCCTTGGAAACTAAGTTTTGGAGAACTCTCTGCCAGAAAGCCTGACCTGAATCACCACAGAGCTCTTAGGAGTCTGCATCCCATTTTGTTTTGCTATAGAAATATTGTGGGCAGATGCCTGTTAGACATCTCCCCTAATGCAACAGGTATACGTACCCTATCATTCTAGCTTCTAAATTCCAAACTCACCTGGCCCCAAGGGCTGGAAACAAAGCATTGTGGGCTAGTGCCCGAGTCCCCATAATTCCGTTTTCGTTGCCCATCTATTTCTGCAATGCTCACCCTTCCTTCTGCATCCTCTGAAAAGCCTTCTGAGAATTCCCTGACAACTGGGATTTCTGAGAGCCTCAGGCTGGGACTCACCAATGTCTAGGATGCGGTCCCCCGGCCGGCTCCACCGCCAGCCCTCCAGCTGCTGGTGTTCGGTGTACTGAAGACGGCGGTCATGGAAAACCACTCGAATGATGCTCTGAGGAAGGCAGGTGATGGAGGCAACTGGGCATGGGGCCAAGGGGAGCCGAGGAGGAACCCCAGCCACCTGCCCATTCCAGCCAGGGCAGACCCTCCCCATATTTCCAGCCTCTCCCCTTGGTGGCTCCTTCCCAGTTCTCAGTATCCATGTACTACTCACTCTCAAAACCCCCAAAATACTTACCATGGTAAGAATGATGACTACCTTTTTATTTTTTAGTACTGGGGATTGAACCCAGGGCCTTTACACTGAACTACAACCCCAGCTCTTTTTATTTTTTATTTAGAAAGAGGGTCTACTAAGTCACTAAGTTGCCCAGGCTGAGCCTGAACTTGTGATCCCCTTATCTCAGCTTTCCACAGTGCAGAGATTACAGATGTGTGCCACCATGCCTGGCTTAATGTCTACCATTTTCCTAGGATTACAAGATGCTTTACATACATGTGCTTTATAAACGCTCCATCAGATGAACAAACTAAAGCTCAGAAAGGTTCCGTAAGTGGCAAAGACCCAGAGCCTGCTCTATCAGTCCAGCCATCATCATCATCTGGCCCTGATGTTGCCACTGTGTCAGCTGCACACTGGGACATGACACTCCAGAGACCAGAAACAGGGCCTCAGTGCACCATGAAGGCCAAGCAGAGCACCACCTCTCCCTCTGAAGCCTCTCCCCACCCCAGCAAGCCCCAGTGCTCAGGCCCCGACCAACCCCCACACCCCCTACCTCCAAGTGTGGGCAGCTCCCCCGCACACAAGGCTTACCTTGACATATTTTGTGTTTAGATCTTGAAAGTCTCCCAACTTCCGGTTCTCCAGCAGTCGGATTTCATATGATTGACCTGGAGGGAAGTTAACAGTACAATTTCCATTTCTGAGTATTTCCAAATTTGGGGTCATCCAGCTAGCAGCCTTCTCAGTGCTCTCAGTACCCATCCATGCCTCAAGGTTCGGAGCGGGGTGGGTGGGGGAGGGAGGGACCCCGCTTTCTCCAGCCTTCAAGTCCCGGCTTGAGAGCCAGGCGGCGAGGGGGGGGGGGGGGAGGGGGGAGAGGAAAAGTCTACTGTCAGCTGAGCTCACTCTCTAGACAGAATCCCCGGGCTGTCCATTCAGCCTGGTGGACCTCAGATACCCCAAAGAATGCACTGTGGGATTCTTCATCTTGGCAGTGGCCAAAGACATAGAACCTAAGAAAATAAGTTAGCATTAAAACCACAGAACATGCTTCTGTGTTTTCACAAGGGACCCCCCCACACACCTCGATGCAGAACACTTAAATTGACAGTACTGGGTAAATAACTGACCACACCACTCCTGACAGCAAGCTTAAAGGAAGAAGCCTGTTAAACATTGTCTCTTGTGGCAGAACTAAAAGCATTCTCCCCAGTTAAAAGAATTCCATGTATTTGAGGGTGTGGGGTTCTATCCAGTGATATACAACCAAGATAAGCAGGTGAAAGAATGCAAATGGAAAAAATATCCATCCATAAAAACAATACAAAACTCAGCAGTATCTATAAAGAACTTGAAGAAAACCACATGTTTTGTGGAATGACAGAAAACAACTTGGATAAAAAGAACACAGCACCTTCCTGGATGAAAGATGATAGATATATATCAAATGAAGTCCACTTTTCCCAATATAAATATGAAACACTCTAGCATATATCACAGTTAATAAAGGATGCTTTACAAGTGAAAGAATAAATTATTTGATCATACTTGGAAAATCAAATTCTTTTTTTTTTTTTCAATTTTGGGGGCTGAACTCAGGACCCCACCTATGCTAAGCAAGTGCTCTACCACTGAGCCACATCCCAGCCCCTTTTCATTTTTTTTTTGCAATAAATATGTTTAATAGTATAGATCAACAGGGGAAAAGAAATAAGCAACAGCCAATATTTGATTTTCATCCTTATCACTTTTTCTAGGGTCCGTCTAACTTGATGTAAACTTACAATTTTCAAGGAAATTCCTATTCCACTCCCATTTTATCATAAATAAATTGAATAGTTTTTCTGTTTGTCTGATAAAACAGGAAAGACTGTTACGTTTGAATGAAAAAGGCTCTCCATTTGTGATCAATGTCACACAGAATCACATTCCCATCAGAAAACACAAACATCAACTTCACAAAACTAAAAATACACAGGAGATCAGTACCATTCAATAAATATGCAAGCTACTTCAGTCTCCCCCAAAAGGACCGATACTTCAAAAAACCATAAAGAAAACCCCTGTCCATTTCCAAGTAAACCAAGTAGAAGAGACAGAAAGATGCTATGTGTGCTATTTTATCCCTCTCCTGGCCCTTCCCTTCCTAGAAAACTGCCTGCTCTCCACAGAGACTGGAAATGGGCCTCATTTCTTCTCGGGGGAGAACACATTCACTGACACCTTTGGGCAATATCCCGTTTCTCAGGAACCCTGGCTCTATACCTAGACCTAGTTCTGCTTCCAAAGCCTCTTCATATAGTTCTCGGTAAGACTTGGGATCTGTGCCATTAAGATGGGCCATATGAACTAGGAGTTTCATCTTGCTGGCTTCAGCGTGGGCCCTTGGACCCCACAGGAACTCATAGAGAGCAGGATCACTGTTAGGAATCTGCCGGTACATCAGGTACTCTTCCCATACTAAATCCTCAGTGATGAATTTCCAGGCTTCCTCAAAATGAAAATGCTCAAACTGAGCTAATATGTCCCATCTTTTCACTTTTTGAGTTAGGTCCTCCTCACTGATATGGTTGCCCTGCATGAAAATTAGAGACAGGACGAATACAATGACGTTGATTTTGAGAATGATTCTTTCATCATCCCCATCTAGTATGCTACTGCATGTAAGACCCAAAATGAGGACTAGCTCATATGTATTGCCAGAGTAATTCACTTTCCTGATTTTAATGCCAAAGCCCAGATACATGGACTCACAGAGTTCCCCAAAGTTCAGAGGGAGGTTGTTACGGTAATCATGGGGCAGAACATGCAGCATTTCTTTCATGGTGACCTGCTCCTTCTTTTGATACTTGTCAAGCAGAAATGACACCAACTTATATAACTTGGCATTTAGGAGCACATTTTGCAGGATGAGAGAAGTGTGCATCCTGCGAGGAGCCTGAACCCTCACAGGATTGACTCCTTTGACTGGAAGCCATGAGGACAGCAAGAACTTGTTGAGGATGAGAAGCCTTCAAATCTCCAGTGCTGGAAAATAACAGTACTGAGCAATAGCAATTGAGCTGCTCCAAGAATCCAAACCCAGATTTTGAAAAATCACAACTGAGAATTCTCCACTGCACAGTGCAAGGGTAGCAACAGAGGCAGGAATGGGTTATTTTCAGAGTCTCAACCTGGAATGTCGCCTTCTCTCTCACCCTCAGCCCCCTTTTCATTTTTAATAACTACAGACTCACCTGAATGAAGATATGACTCGGTGATCGCATCTTACAGACTTACACTATACTACGAACATCCGGAGAGTAACACTGACAGTACGTGTTCCACAGAGCTGCAGACCTTACTGGGATTTCCCTGGGTTTTGCATTCATCTTTATTCATGTTTTCTCTCAATCTGAAACTCAAACTTTCATTTCTCCCTCAATCTCTTTCTCAATCTCTCTCTCTCTCTCTCTCTCTCTCTCTCTCTCTCTCTCTCTGTCACACACACACAAATTTTATCCCAGTGTATAGATTATTCAAAATACAGATTCTCAGCCGCACGAGGTGGCACACGCCTGTAATCCCAGAACCCAGGAAGCTAAGGCAGGAGGATCACCGTGAGTTCGAGGCCAGACTTGGCTACAAAATGAGTGCAAAGCCAGCCTGAACTACATAGTGAGTCCTTGTCTCAAAAAAAACCCCAAAAACCAAAAACCAAAAACCAAAATAAAACAAAGTACAGATTCTCATTTTACAGCATATACCAAAATAAATGACCACTGGATTAAAAAGTCAATTTCTCGGGGTGGGGGAGAAATACTAGTCAAAGGATACAAGTGTTAGACAAGAGGAATAAATTTAATAGATCTGTTGTATAGCATGAATATCAATAATAACAATACTGGGTCTTGAAATATGGTAAGAGAATGGATGTTAAGCTTTCTCACTACAAAAAAAAAGGTACATTGGGCAATGCCTATCATTAGCTCAATATAGCCACATCATAATGTATACTTATTTCAAAACATATTTTAAAACTCAGTTTTTTAAGGTTTTATTTCAATGTGAATGACGACTTATCAGACAATAGGAAAAGACTTTGGGACTGGAAATAAAATCAATGGGAAAAATGAAACCTAGCTCTATAAAACCTAAAACAACAAAAAAGTATAAATGTAAAAAAAACTACTTAATGCAAATAACAAAGTAGGAACAGTAAACCTACTGACTAACAGTTATTACATAGTTTTAAAAAGCAACTGATTCAATAAATCTAAGGGCTGGGGTTTAGCTCAATGGTAGGAGACCTGCCTAGAATGTGCGAGGCCCTGGGCTTGATCACCAGCACAGGAAGAAAAGAAAAAAAGAATAGTAAGCATCTTCTTTTAGTGGGTTGCTTGTGGTCCCCAACGAGATGTCTCTGGCCCTACTTCCATACCGGGAATGTTGACCTTATGGAATGTATTTGCAGACACAGACTTTAGCTGATGTGATACGTTCAGGATTCTGAGATGAGGAGATAATCTCAGATTATCCGACTGGGCTCTAACTCCAGCAACGGGTGTCTTTACTGAGAGACACAGAGGAGGCAGGGGCCATCTGATCACAGAGACAGAGCCTGGACTGCTGTGGCCACAAGCCAAGGGATACAAAAGCCAACAGAGGCAAAGGAATCGCATCCCCATGTCCCCAGAAGGAACCTGGCATGTCCCTGGAGATTTCCTACTTCCAGCCTCCAGCCCAGAGAGAGAACAATTGCCTGTCTTTGTGCATGTGTGTGTGTGAATGTATGTGTTACTGGGGGCTGAGCCTAGGGCCTTCATATTGTGTTACAACCCCAGCCCTTTTGGGGTCCATTTTTAAAAATTTTGAGGTAAACACACAATTAGTAATTTGTTTCAGGAGGCAAAAGAAACAAATCTGTCACCACTCCACACCAGTGAATAATGAAACAGGCAAAGAATAGGAAATGAAATTATTCTTCTCAAATATTTGCTGAGCAGCAATGACAAGTAAGTGCCCTGGAATCCTAGGGACACAGTGGTGGCCCAACTTGTACATCCCAGAGCTTGCTCACCACAGCTGCGGACATGATGCTGGCCACACATGGACAGGTCCACCAGGCCAGCTGCCCCTCAATCTGCACAGTTACCTTCAGATGCGACAAGCGCATGCTCAGTGCACATGCACGCCATGCTCAGCTCTGCTCAGGGGGATGGCTGGGTGCCGTTTCCAGCAAAGGGAAGGGGAGCAAACCCCAAACTCTCATCCTGCCCACCTGCCTGCTCAGGAGACAGGCCTTGAAAGGGTGGTAGTGGCCTAATCAGAAGGGCAACTTTCTAAAAGAGGCAGATTTTCAGATACACTTCCGGGCTTCTGAACCAAGAGTCCAGTAAGCCCTCGCCATGGACATAAAAAGAGCCTTACACACCCTAACTGGTTTTTCCAGTGCTCCCTGCCTTTTCTGATGAAGAATGTAGATGGCGCTGGCAGAGGCCCAAGGGCCAAGTGGTCCTTTTGTGAGTTTACAGGTGCCCCAGGGGGCCAATTAGTACGGACCCAGGCTCTGCAGAGCAACTTCCACTCAGGCCAGGCAAAGGGGCCTCTCCTGTCCCCGAGAGCATCTGTCCAACTGCCTAAGGGGCAGGACTATTGAGTGAGTGAGTACCTAGGTGCCAAACGGCAC